ATGTATGATTTTCGTTCCACTTCTCACGTGTACACCACTTTGTATTGGTCTTTCACGTGGAATTCCAATAAAATTGATTCATGTTTGTGGCTGTAATGTGACAAAATGTGGGAAAGTTCAAGGGGGCCGAATACTTTTGCAAGCCACTGTAAAAAGCTAGAACACAAGAGTGCACGTTCACAGTAACGACACACCAACAGTACAAGCCAACCACAAGAAGCAGTTCAGTTTTTAAAACTTTTTTATTGTTTTTAAATTTTTTTGCTCATTTTTTAAATTATTTATATTATCTACAAAGTAAAAGTTTTAACTTAAAAGTTACATAAGGGTCGGGTGAGAAGTGGGATCTGATCACCTCAGCCGTTATAATTTCATAAATAACACTTTCTCCTGTCCTCTCGGCTGCCAACATGAGTTTATTTCACAGAAAGTTTCTCGTCATGTTTCGTTTTTAGTTTGGTTAGAAACGTGTCGTGTAGTCTGGAAACAAATGCAGCACATAGCAGCAGCAATAAACAGTAGGATTAATACTGTCTAAAGGTTGGAAGATTCTTTTCATAACAAGGTGCGGACAAAAATTACGAGTTCCAGTTGAATTTTCTTCTTCACACTCGCTGATTGTTTACTCTCTTTCACTTCTTACTTGGCAAGCTGACTTAAGTTGCAATTTGGGACCCCTGAAAGTGTGTGTAGATGTAGGTATAACTATCTGTGTTTGCAGATCTGTATGTGTATGTGTGTGTGCTTGTGTTGGGGGGGGACTGAATAGGAGCAGTCTTGTCTGTTAAAACTCTAGCTCGTTAAAACATGTCACTGCATCAACCTGTTAACATTCTCTTATTGCCTGGTCAGGGAGGGAGGGAGGGAAGAGAAAAGCTGATGTGAAGCATGTCTGGTGAGGATGAGGGAAGAGAGGAGAGGGTGGGCTCTCTCATCCTCTTCATCGCCTGGTTATGAAGGCTCTGGTTGAGAAGCGCGGCGCAGAGCGGGTCCCTCAGCTCGCTGACGCACTCCATCTACAGCTGCTGCTGATGATGAGGTTGCACTGCAGGGATGACAGAAAGTTTCTTTGTAACACGTTAGACAGCTTTACAAAATACAAACTATTGTTTTAATTACACTCAAATAACAAACCAGTAATTCTCCTCCAATCATCTAAATCTGCACCTAAAGACGGAGTTTTCCCTGCTTTAACCTGAGGAGAATTAAATATTTGATAAAAAAATAAGTGTGTTTCTTCTGAAATTACCATTACTCAAAATCTCACCCTATCTGATCATGTGTCCCAAGCTGAATCTTTTTAAAGACCTATCTTTAAATAACTGATGGTTCTGCAAAGCCCACAGTATGACTCGCCCATCTGCATGGCTCTTATTGTGTGTACTGAATAGAGAACAGACGTTTTCCTTACAAAACAGAATCTGAAAGTCACCAGTTCACCTTCGACCAGTGTTTAAATGCAGTTAGCTCAGAGCTGGTTAGTTATTAGCTGGTGGCCCCTCAGTCTCCCAGTGGATGCACCTTTACCACCTTTACATCTTTCAGCCTTTTATGACTCAGGGGTGAAATGTGTTTCTTGTACTGACTTGACACTTGTTACTTTGTCCCAAAGAATATGACAATACGTTAAAATCTGCTGACCAGTGACTGCTGATCTATGTGTCAGCAGTATCCACGCACATATTTGCCTGCTGGGAATAATACAAAAATCACCTCTTTATGGTCATTTTTAACTGACTCAGATGAAAGGTGTAACATGTGCACAACTTTTATTTATTGCTTTATTTCCCAGGGGATAAATTCTCATCTGAATCAATTCCTACACAGGACAAATTTTACACGCCAAGTTTATGATTTGGGTCAAATACAGCAGCTGCCACTTCTTTCAAAGCTACCTTTTCTTGGCCTCTGTGTTCGCTGGAGTCGCCACACAGAAATCTTACTTCCTATTAAAATTCATTATTTTGAGCTGACTGCAACAAAAAAACAGAAAAAACACAATTTGTGTCCATGAACATGACCAATTACATTGCTGTTCTCCGTGGCACCGACACTTGGGTGTCCACGCCTCCCCCTGCCTGCACAGGGTGTGACGACAGAACCTCATTAGACTTTCATGGCTGAGGGATAATAACTGTCCAAAGAATAAAAAAAATTTAATTATGTGTGATTGCCTCAGCTAACTGCCATTATATCTATTAATGACACTCACCCCCCCATGCAAAAAAAATTGAAGTCTAAATATTTCAACCATTGCCATGAAGAGTACTCACTTATTGCCTCAGTTCGCACAAAGGTGTAAAGAGGAGCTAGTAATGTAAAAGAACATTAGAGAAGGAAAACAACACAGTCTCTTTATAGAGGAAGGAAAATAATAAAAATACCTTGTGGATGTGCCAGGTAGGAGAAATGTGTGGTTGAGGAAACAGGGATGGGGTTAAGGGCAGTCTGGGGCATAGGTGGCTGTGGACCAGCTGGAGGACCCTGGGTAGCCATGAGCATCATTGGGGGGTGGGTGGGTGCCGGGTGGTGGGATGGCACAATACCAGACTGCATATGGGCCTGGGAGCGAGAGAAAGAGCACAAGTGTGAGTGAGTGCGCCAGAGTGAGAACAAAAGTGTGACAGTGAGAGACCAACAGAAGGACAAAAGCCAGACTGGGTAAAACGATGAATCAGATGAGTTTCAGTGACACAGCGTTTCACGGCTCCGCCTGTCTGTTACCGACAGGAGCAGCAGCTCTGACCAGAAACCGCATGATTCTGAATGTTTTTCTTTCTGTCTTCTTCAGCAGCCTGTTTACATAAAGGTGGGGCTCAGAGACAAACGCACATACAGCATGTGACTTCAGCTAAGACAATAACACGAGGTTACAGTTTACTTTTCAAGTTTGACTTGGAAACGGCAACGTTTGTTTTCCATGTGCAACGAAAACTTCCTGTAAAATGAAACGGTGCGAGTACTTTAACACCTGCAGAACAAACAGAAAATAAAAGAGCACTTTCACTGTGGTCGACCCTTCACACATAAAAGTCCCCTTAACGTACGAGGAAGGAAGAGCCAGGACAACAGAGGACAAGACAATAGCACAATGATTACCTTGAAAGTCTTGCTTTTAAGACTTATACTGTGGGTTATCATACATGCCCAGACAAAATCTGAAACGGATGCACCACTAGAAGAAAAAGTTTAGCTTCCTTTAGCTAAACACAAGGTTTATAATATCTCTACTGTACTGAGACAGGGGTATGAAATCCTGCCAATCACAATCCTAGGGCTTTGGAAAGCTACTCCACTCGAGTAGCATCATACAATTTACAGTTAAAAATATCCATATCTGATATTTGGCCTTGGTGAAGGCCTTCAGTAGAGACAGAATGATGTATCAGAATGGTAATATTAGCTAATTGGCAGTCTATTGGTGTCTGCATTTATAATGGCCAACAGATGAAGTAAAGTTGATGTGTGAAACACTCTTCAGCCAGACAGATTGCAGAGTGGCCTCTGGTGTACAATTCTGAGCAGAGCACAAACAGGTAAATAACTACACATAATGTAACAATGCTAGGGAAACCCATTTGTTTCATGTATCTAGGGGGAAAAAAGCCCCCAAAACTGTCAGCTATTAGTCATCCTCCATCTGAAGCAATCTGCATTATCTCCTTAACCAGTTTCCTTCTGATTGGCTCCCCCTCATAAACAGATTATTTGAACAGCAGCTGCTCTAAGCCAGAGCTGCATGTCTGAAATGATCATATTAAGGCCATCCACTCTCACTGACTTCATACATATGAGAGTAGAAAAGACTTAAACTGATCACTTAGTAACTTAAGTCGTACACAAACACTGAAGTCATCATTTGAAACTTTGGGCAGGTTTATTGTGAGCCTTCTCTGTGATTAACTCTATAGCCTATATATGACACACAACAAGGAAACTCTCAATAGGTCTATTTAAAGAATTCCTTCATAGACTCAATGGGGCCAAACTGCTATGGGTATCCAAGAATATCTCTGAATTGCATGGTTAGTTTGTCTTCTTATCAGGAAATAATGTTTCTTTTCCTCTGTACCCCTCAGCGTACCGTGAGAATGACAGCGCTACGTCCCAACTTGATCATACTGCCAACAAAATGTCTACCTCATTTAAAGGGATTAACAAAAGCCAAATATGACCCATTCATAAACTCAAACATCTACTGGAATGGATCCCAGACCTTTCTCACACCCACAGTTAAGTCCAGCACAGGAAACACTGCCAATCTGATTGCCTGGCTTGAGTCACTGTGGTCGCTGTTGAGCACGTTCACAGCACGCTGTGACCTACCTGCTGCACATGCGCCATGTGGTTGGGGTTGTAGCCATGCTGGACCTGCTGTGGGTGGATATACACAGCCTGCTGAGCAGAAGGGAAGGATGCCTGTGGGGACTGAGGGTTTGGCCCTGGGGTCATCGAAGGTGGCGTGGGTGCCAAGGCCGAATACATCTGCTGCTGTGGAGGCTGGTTAGCCAGGTGGAGGGCCTGGGCTGCTGCTGCTGCTGCTACAACAAAAATCATAAACACATGTATACATTACCATAATGCTCCACTTGAAAAAATTCAGCTCCATGGGGGGAGGGGGTAATTACTACCGCCAACCTTAGGGCACTCACCTGCTGCTGCCTGCGGGTGCTGTGGGTGCTGGACTGGGCTGGCAGCTGGATGGCTAGGAGGGCCTCCATGTTGTGGTCCACCCTGCTGTGCCTGGCCTGTAGGCGTGGCAGAGGGCTGAGGGTGCTGCGGGTGAGGGTGCAAGGTGGCACTAGGGTGGGGGTACTGCTGAGGCATTGGCCCTGGAGACACTGAAACAGCAGTCAGCGTTAGTAATAGTGAAAAGCATTAAAAATCACACCCCGTGCATTGGCCGCACACGTACCATACATGGTGTGTGTCTGCTCTGGGTACTGTGTAGTAGAGGAAGAGACGAGACTGGGCTGGCCATGCGTGGGAGGCGCCATCATCCTGGCACTGCCCTGCATCACTGGACTGAACACATGCTGTGCCTGAAAGAGGCAAAAAGGAAGCCAAAAAAAACTGAGGAAACCCTCTAACAACTCCTGCCGTCAGTTTTGGTAACTGAGTGCCAATTTAGAGAGCCAACATTTGTTCAAAGGCTGCACATGAAATATGGACAAACACTTTTTGTGCTTCTGATGCATCTGTTCAGAGAAAGGAAGCTTATTTCTTTCTTGGTTTATACTTTTTTGTAATCATTAGTTAGCCGACTTGCATTTCTTAACACCAGCTCAATTTGTAAGCGCTGTGATGAAACTGAAAGAGAAAAAAAATGGCTTCTATGGTCTCACTCTGTGGTTCTGGCATATCACATGAACTGTGGTCTGATAAAATCTACAGTAATGCATTCTGTGTTCATAGGCTGCATAAAACATTCTCACAAGCTGTCATTTAAAGAGGCTGTGTGTGAGATCATGTTTGTCTGTCAGAGTCTGTCTCATCCCAAAGCTGGCCATCTTCACTCAATTTAATTGGCACTGACGATCAAAGTGACATAAGGTTCATTATTTTTGGGGCATCAATGATTATGTGCATACGATGTGTGTTCGATATGTACTGAAAAATGCTTCCTTAAAGAATTATGTATTTAAGAGGCCAAATCCTTTCATGACTGTGTTAAAGCAAAATGCAACATTCATGAGGTTTAACTTCTTTTCTTAAATTTATTTACCTATTTTACATTTCTTAAACTTAGCAGTCATTGTGGTATTGGCATCAAGCCTCAGATATCTTTTTGTCAATACCATCTACTATTCATTAGTAATCAACATAAAAAACATAAATGTGTGCTTTGAGTAGGCTCTGCTCCAAAAAGTGCTTGAGCCTCGCTGTTTGTATTACTGAGGATTCTCCAGGATTTTTTAAGTCACTGCAGTAAAAGCTGCAGTTTTTCCTATGACAGCCTGTAGCAAACAGGTAGTAACTCTTCAGGTATAAGAAGCAGGAGTACACTTTGAGCTCAATAAATTAGAGGTGATTAAAAAAAAACAAACTGGCATGACATTGGCACCCCATCAAACTGCTAAAGACCACCAGCATCTGTCAGCCAAATCACCGACAAGTGAACAGCTGCGGGAGATAAAAACTGCCAGTTCTAATTGATGGTACCAGAGAAACTTTAATGGTTACATACGAGTCTTAATAGACGAGCCTGTTCAATCTATCCTTGCTCAATGAGCTGCTAAAGGCTTTATAGTTGTGATACTGCTGGTGCCAGAGTAAATCATACCTGTGACTGGTAGTGAGGCATCTGCTGGACGAGCGGCTGACTGGTGAACTGCTGTGGGCTGCAGGTGAAGTACTGCGCTGAGTAAGCCGGGCTCGGTGCTACAATCGGTGGCCCTGCTGCTGTGGCTGGGTGCATCATGGTGGGTGTGCCTGGCGGATGGTGCTGGTCTGACCTCTGCTGGGGCATGTTGGGTACTAGAGATTTATGTTAAGAGACGGGCAAGATGGAGAATAAGTTCACCATCACATATCACACATATATATATATACCAACTCTAGAGGCTTTGGTGAGAGAGAAGTGCTGGCTATGAAAGACACTAGTAAAGTCTATATGTGAGGGGGAGAAGAAAGAAAAAACACAAGCAACTGATCATATTATGAGCCATATTTAAACTTACTGAAAGATAATAAAGATTGGCCAGATCAGAAATTAAAAACAAAATCCTGAAGTTTCTTTCTTGTAAAAGCAAACTACAAAAATACTTGCACAACAGCATCTCTGTACTTGCGTAATAACTGCAGGTCGGTAAGTGTGTGTGGTAAAACAACATATACAGCATCAGTGGTTTTTGGTGTCCCGCGTAGTGAGAAGAATATACAACATTCTTTAAATGATTGTATAGCGATTGCTGTTGTCGCACGTTTGATTTTGTGTGGGCAAAACAGCTCAATCCCCCACATGAATAATCAACGTAATTAATCAACCAATCCATCACACTTCATGTAAGCCTGGGGAATTATTTTCAGCCTTCATTATTCTCAGCTCCTCATCGTGATATTGAGTGACTGGTAATATTTCAGATTGCAGGCTCCTGCGTGGTGTGCTTCTGCAGGAAGCCCTCTCTTTGTTTTTTACCCCATTGGGAATTTATTTATTCCACCAACAAGACATTTTAATTCAACCGTTTTGCAAAAAATGCCACAACAATGCCATTTTGTAAACAATGTTTGGGCTGACTCTGAAAACAAGCCTTTTATTATCATATACTGTCCAAATAGCTGGTTAAAAATATTTATGTATTCACATGGTTTGTAAATATTGTTCACCAAGTTGAGAAAAAGATTATGTGGGAGGGAAATGAGAGAAAGAAAGCGGTGGTTATTCTCACCTTTACCTGGTCTGTAGGGTTTAGATTGGCTCACTGTCATAGGCATCTGAACCTGGTACATGGGAGACTGGAGAGAGGTGAGGAACGAGGAAAGGTAGGGGAAAAACAAAAAATAAAAACATGTTTATACTCAATTTTCTGTGAGATTTCCAACAAGATTATAAAACAGACAGTCTGAGTATAAACATGGGTGCATCTATGCTCATTTGTCTGGGACCCTTAATAACAATGTGGCTGCAGATAAACTTTTCATCTTCTCTTGTCTAACACAAACAGCTTACTAGAATGTAAGAGCTTGTGGGAGTCATCGCTTACCTGGGGCCACATGCACTTTCTACACCTGACTACACCACTTTTCTACACCACCAAAAAGGTGTTTTTACAGCATTCATAATACTGTTTTTTCAGTTCCTGAACTCATTAACATTGTCCACCATGCATTTGTGTTACAAACACCCCTTCAGCAAAAACAAGCTAGCTTAAACTCATTTTAGCTTGCAGCCATTTGTTTGGAAAACAGATGGAACACAAGGAAATGAGCACAGTTTTAAGTCCATCTGAAGAATTGCAATAAGAAGTTGGCAAACCAACATCTGATGATATTAATTCAACAAGCAAGCAAAACATCCCAGTACTTATTGGGCTTAAAAAATAAAATAAAAATAATACAAAAAAAAGTTTTTAAAAATAGAAATCTTAGAAAAATTCACAAACCTTCCATATTATGCTTTTCTAATGGAGCGAGAGAGAGAGGGAGGAGGAGGAGGGGGAGAAAAGGGAAGAAGAACCACTTTTTAGTTGTTATCGTTTGCACGTGTCTGATGTTGGATCACCAAGTTTTTCTTAAAGCAACATAAGAAATGTATTGATCACAGCTACATATATGCAACATCAAAATTATATCTATATTAAACTTCTAAAAAATGCTTTGACTAAACATTTCTAAGCTTGTTATGCAAATAATCACCTAAACATTTCTCAGTTCACTCTGTAAGAAAACCATGTAACTAACACCTTCTCAAAAGAAGACAGGAACAACATGTCATGGGGAGGGGGACCTTTTTTCCCCTCTAATGCTTCTTCTGCTACATGGAGGGAAAAAGTTTACAATGAAACAAATGACAACAAATGTGAGCTTTGTCCTTAAAAACATAAAATACACTGAGAAAATAATGATGGCAGGCATGAATCAAAGAAAAGGAAAGAAAATTACCACGTGAGGACAAACATAGACAGACATGTTAGTCACTGTTGTTAGGGGTTTGTCTGAACTCTGCATTTCATACCAACACAGTGTGATGCTCTGGGTGATTTGCACTGAATAAAAATAATTATATCTCCATAATGCACATTTCAGCATGCAGGTGTGTATCTCACCTGAACTCCAGGGCTGACTGGCGTCAGCGGATACATCTGGGGGAAGCAGACTGTCTGGCCATAAACAGTCGGAGGTTGCTGGACCACGATGGAGGGGCTGGGCTGGCCTTGAGGCCGGGGAGGCGTTGGGGTGTTGGCTGGTTTGGGCTGAGGGAAAATACAAAGAAAAACAAAAGCATATAGAGACATAAATAAATTAAATACCAGACCCAGTTTTTGGTTTCCAAATGTTTTAAGCTTGGCAGAAGCGGGTTATAACTTACCTGTGTATTAAACCTGGGTTTGAACTCATTAGCATTTGGGTTCAGGGTTGATTTTCTCACTTGACTGCAGAGAGAACAAATAGAGAAAAGGAATGAAAAGGAAGAATTTGTTTGTAAAGCTACTTAAACTTGATTAAATTGTGTTTCTTTAAATTAATAAATATTTATCATTAAATAATTTGTTGTTGGTTTTGGACAGTAATAAATCCCTACTGTGCATTATAGTAAACTGACTACAGACCACACAAAATGCAATAAAGTCATTTTTGGTTTTCTCGTGGAATGGGTCTCCTGTCCACTCACTCCTGCACTGCTTCTTTTTTCTCCTCCTTCTCTTCATGCTTGGGTCCGCTGAACGTTGAAGTGGCCGTCGTCTGAACTCCCTGTGACGTCACATCAAGCCCTGGCCTCTTCTGGTCAGTAGCAGAGGGAGACTGAGACATTGCAGCGGGACTGCCAGGCTTACTGGTGCTTGTGGTGGTAGTCGGTGGAGCATGGGTACCACTAGGTGTGCCAGCAGCAATTACTAAAACACCATCTTCAGTGGCCTCCCTCCCCACTGTGGAGGCTTTGTCCAGGGGAAGATCTTTAGGTTTGTCTGCAGGGTCTCTAGCAGACTTGGTCATCACTGGTTCACAGGGAGGCTCTGGGTTGGAACTAGACTGCAACTGGCAGAGGGACAGAGGAAAGATGAGTGGAAGAGGGGCACAACCTCTGCTGAAGCCTCACAAACATGAGATGAGATATCTTAGCAATTTGTATGTCATATAAATTCAAGAGATACTTACCCTAAAATCTACACTAAATTTCTTTAAATTATCTATTTGTTTTCTGTGGTCTGATGGTATAGAAGGCGGTCCTGCAAAGTGAATGGAGAGAAATAAATGCAAATTCTGGAAATATAAATTTTTAAAAGACATTGTTACATTACGACTACTAAAGAAAGGAACAGATGAGAAACCCTCGTAATCATGTTTAAAATTGTATTGCTTCTCAACATTCTGAGGTTAAAAAGTTAATGCAAATTTCGAGTGTTTACCAACCTTTACAAACTTGTCTTGTAAAACTAGGTGAACTTTCCAAAGGCTTGATGTTCTCCTTGTTTGTAGGAGATGTTTGTCTAGTCTCCTGGGCACGACATTCTTTTGCTAAACAAACAAAAAAGAAAGTTTACTTACTCCCATCAAAATGATTTAACGATAGCTTTTTCTGATTGTAGCACTTATTTATACATTATAAAAACCAACAGACATGTGTTTTCATATCACTATTCATACTCAGTAAAAATCCTTTGTTAAACTTCAGCTTACCATCTCCTGATGAAGAAGTGACTATGCTGGGGGCAGGGCTAGCTGCAGTAGGAGAGGAAGCTGATGTTGGAGTAGTAACAGTTTCCACAGGAGCTGTACCTGTCTGAGGTGATGGGAGGGAAGAGGAGCCAGGGGAAGCTCCACCCATACTATTCTGTCGGGGGGAGCGAGGTCTGTGAGCTGAGGAGGAGAGAAGAATTTGGTGTTCAAAACACATTCAGGTTAAATAACAAACAATGACAGGTGCTTTGAAATATGCCCTCCAGTGGCATTAAACTAAAATCTCTGCAAAGGGAGAAAAATACTGGACTAGTAGGTTCACCATTGGGATGCATTTAAAAATCCAATGTTGCCTTGTTCTCAAGTTACATTGCATTTACAAGCTTTGGTGTCCACACTACCTGCCCGCCCAGCAGGGTGACAACAATATCCCATCAGCCTTTTATGGCACAAACTATTCAGATTAATAGTCTACCTCCGCTAACCACTGAGGACCATGTCCCTCCAGAGGAAGAGCTACTCCTGGTTTGTGGAGTCACTATGGACTCTCCAGGGGGATTATGGGAAATTAAGTCCACTCCTTGGGGTACTCCACTGGTCCGACAGGGTGGCACTCTGTGAGCACGAGGCGTCCGCTGAGATTTTGGAGACATCCTTGGTGGACCTAGAGATGTATAAAGACAGAGGCAAATGGATAGAAACTGGTAAACACACAGTGACAGCAAAGTAAACGTGTTTCCTGGCATCCCTCTGTTAATTGTTGTTTGTTTTTTTAACTCACCAGTGCCTCACAAAAACTTTGAAAAACTCAAGTCTACATGCTGATAAATCTCACACCAAACAGTAAGGTTATTTTTTGCATGCATGCTAGTGGAGAAATTACAGATGATCCTGTAAAGTGATCAAACACCACATCACAACCAAGCAAAGTGAGAGATGAGAAATGGGAAAGCGAAGGCCAAAAAGTGAGATGAACAGTGGCCTACAGTAACAGCATATTAAAAAAAATAATGAGAGGCCAAACACTAGTTAACAATTTTTCTATTCAAGTAAAAATAATTAACGTCAAGAGATTAAGCCTCACTACCAGTTTTTGGGGGGGTTTTGGAGGGCCTCTGGAAGTTGACGGATCACATTTCTGGTCAACAGTTTGTATCCCAATGGAGTGGAATACAGAGAAGACTTTTAAAAAACTGCATGTGAAACTTAACTGGTATTACAACCACTTATCAAATTTGTCAATTCAAATATCTCTGAGCATCTTTTTCATGCCTCAAACATCAAGCCTTGTTTTTTTAATTAGAATATCATCGTGCATCTTCTTTTGAATTATCTACCAGAAAAGTTGATAAATTGGTGCCTTAAGTGTTACCACACCCAAAGCATGGCACACATTGGTGCACCCACATGCCAAGGTGAAACTGCCTGATGTACTGACAGAGAATCAGAGTTTTTCAAATCTGATCCCAACTCAGTCTGACCAAGCAATTTCTCCTATTTCTGCTGTTCCACACTAGACCTGGGCAAACTTATTTTTAAAATAAAACTGATCGCCATCAACTTTGAAATATTTCACATTTCTTTGTGACTTAAATCCCTCCACCTTCAACTCGTGTTTTTTGCCCAGGTCTACTCCACAGAGATGTGGGTACCTTCTGAAGACATGCGTTTGGCCAGAGTGGAGGCTGGCGATGTGGGCCCATGGTGGGAAAAGGAGGATGAAGAGGAGGGATAAGAGAGGTGGGATGAATGAGAGGAAGGTCTGGAAGGTCGAGAGGGGGGCCTGGAAGGTGGCCTGGTGGGCGTGGTTGCCCGATGAGGCAGGGAGGAGGGACCGGACTGGTAACGAGAAGGGGGACGGGAGGAAGGAGATGGACAGGGTGAGGGCCAATGGGATGAACCTAAAAGAGGCAAGGACAAATGATCAAGGATGACACAAGCTATAGTGCAGGGGAAACAAAGGTATAGTGGGGACAGAAAGAAGAGAGAATTTTAATAAAAATTTAAAAAAAAAAAAAAGACAAGGGATGGGGAAACAGGAAAAAATAATTGCTTAAATAAAAATAAACTAACAAGATAACACAAGAATAACCCAAACACTTTGCCACTGAAAAATAACTTATTCCAAGTCGTGATTTGACCACAACAGTGACTCACTCATCCACTCCTTTACTCTCACAAATACTGTGTTTGATTTGCAGCAAGTAACAGCAGATTTGTGGGTGACATATTAAATATACCTCCATTAACCACCCTCTGGTCGGATCCAGAGCTGGGACTGTAGTCGTGGGGTCCTGGTCGAGGAGTGGGGGGTCCAGCTGAGCTCTGACCAAGACGAGGTGAATTCTGACGCCCTGGCCCCCATGACATTGCCTCCCTGTTTCTCTGACCAGGAGGAATGTACTTGTTCTCTCTACAAACATACAAACAGACTTAACTCAGCTAAACATATACACAAGGCAATAATAAAGATGAGCAATTAATTCTATACTTTATTCCATTCCAATAAGCGGTCATTAGCTAAAATGAGTTTATTTTTTTAATTTTAATTACCAGTTATAGGAAGTATTTGTTATAGGAACATTTGCTGTCTACTTGTCTAGTAGGCTTAAATATTCCTCCCAAAGAACAGGAAAAGGGGCAATAGAGTTCTACATGCAGCACAAGAAGCATTAGAAAAAAACCCGACAGAAAACAAACTCCACAAAGATTTTTTTTTTTAAAAAGGCACTAACAGCAGTAGTAGTAGGCCCTGTTCAAAATGTTTAACACTCAGTTTAGAAGTTCTTTGTGTATTATGACTTTGTGTTCTTCACTGCCAGTGCAAAGCCAAATGAGCAAGAGAAGCATAAACTAAAGCAACAGTTTTATTTCAGTGCCCCCTGGTGACAGCACACAGCTACAACACAGAAGATTGTATGCAAAGCTCTGCAGTATCCTTTTCCAGCTCCTCTTAAATTCTTATAACAATAAATTGTGAATAATGCGAGTTCTAACTACTCCACAGAATGTATCAAGAGGCAATGAAAATTGAAAATTGTCCAAATATGAACCCGCTGTTTACGAACACAATTACATTTACATAATTGCAAAGTGTACACAAAACGTATTCACAGAAACAAGTAGTATTTTTGTAAAAACTCATATCCTGGCACCACCTGCCAAGTGTGTGAGTCTCCCTTTCCCCTCGCACAACAGCAGTGAATTTCTCCTCGTCAGTCCGTTCATCATTCTCCAGAGCAACGCGGGCCTTGTACGTGGCACTAGCCTCGATCTCCTCTGCCAGCTGGGCAGCACGCGCCTCCCTCTTCAAGAACTCTTCTGAGTTGTCCCTCTCTAAAGGTACCCTGGGAAATAAATTCAGGTTAGACAAGGAGTAACATGGGACAGCGTGGTTCTAAGTCTTTCATTTTTTAATAAAACCAGATTAAAGAGTGAACGTTTGTTTACTGTCAGAGATTCAAAATTAAACATCTAGTATGACAAGTATACAAACAAATACATGGAGAACATGAAGAAGCTTACGTATATGTGGACAGGCTGCTGTCATATGTGGACAAGACTCCATATTTCTCCTCATTGTACTTGAACATGTCATTGGGATCCCACCCATTAGACTGATGTGAAAACAGTAGCAGAGACAGAATTTGACAATCAGCATGTGAACAAATTTAAATGCTCTGGATCACATGAAACAAACTCTTTGTTTCGGTTGAATATATAGCAAGTTTAGCAAAAGCCTGTTTCTGGTGTCTGATACTTTTCTCACCACATCAGTATCCAGAGACTCGAGGCTATCAGAGTTGTGGGTCTCTCCTCCATCCCAGGGCTCAAGATCTTTCTCTTTATGCTCGCCATTGATCCGGCCAGTCACTGCTGCATCTGTGAAGTTGTCTGAAACATGAAGAAAAGAATGTATATATTTATGTACTGCATGATACCACACACACACGCACGCAGGCTCCACTCTCACTGCTTAGAAAACAAAGTGCTCATCATGCTTCAAGAGCCTCTGAGAGAGTTCTTACAGCAAACGTCTATATGGAGAGTTTGACAGTTCAGAAAGACACACCGAGTTACATCCAAACACAGGTTCAACAGGATTTTTTTTTCTTTTTTTT